GCAGGGGTGTGAAAAATGCATTCAGCCCATGTCAAGTGTGTCTGTTAACCTTTTAAAGCACTTTTAAGATTAGCATTTGACGTTCGTCCTTCAGGCTAAGATTTCGCACGATTCTAGTCGAAGTAATGATACACCACAATTCGTCATTGAGCATTTCTGATCTAAAATAAACCAATGATTGCATGAATGAATGAGGTCATTACGACATGACATCATCTCTATATCGGGTTGATTGAAAATGATTGAATGCAAAAAAATATATCCAGTATCACCTTTGCTATTTCTGATCTGAAATAAACCGACTGTTGCAAATAAAGCTCCGGATGCGGCTATTACGGCATGTCATGACCCGAGGGTAACAAAACTTGAATGGGGAATGGAAACAGTATCAGAAGCGGGCAATTGTGCGTAGTTTGGTCTTCTCACGCGAGAGTCTTACGGTTGGGTTGGCGGGGTCAGGGGGCAGGAGACGCTTCAGTTGGCGGCGGAGAATTGAGATCAAACACAATCGCGGGTCTCCCCTCAACTTATCTGTACGCAATCCAGTAATACTAATGCCCTGGAGATACAGATGTAGTACACTATAATAGTAGCCTGTGAAACCCAAGCTCCGGGGACTACTAGGGAGCCGGCGAAAAGCGAGGTTCAGTCAGGCTAACTATAATAGTATATAGCCCGCTGTGCCCGGGGGTTTCTTCACTATTAGACTGTGTGTGCACTTGTACATACATACAAGCACATTCAACCACATTCTACTCGCCTAGCGACTGGAAATTGTATTTTTATTTCAAGTAGCATCCTGGAGAGCATTCTATGTTTATTGGGCTAACAGTTTGTCTGGTATTTTTTTTTGTTTCATCTTAGTGGGTTTTTTTCTTGACGATTCCCCTGGTTTGGAGAAGAAAGGAGGAGAAGAAAGTAACTTTGCTGTTATTGGTGAGTACCCTGTATTGGTATTTATACTGTTGAGTTGTACTCAATAGTGACCACATTCTATGTTGAGTTATATGTATATATACATGTAAATTAGCGAAATTGTATTGTAATTTGTAAATTAGCGATACTTCAGATTTTCGGTTTGGGTTTTGGCTTATTTTGGCGTTTCTGTGGCTTTTTTTATCGGACTTTCTTTTTGGCATCGGTAACTTTGGTTTAGCGTAAAAATAAAAAGATACCAATGCAAAAAAGGAAGCCGGATAAAATAAGCCAAAACCCAAACCTCTGCTTGTAGTATTGCATTGTCCCATGTGTTGTTGGCGGCATTAATATAAGTATAAAAAAACTTAAGTGTGCCGCCACCACGTCTTGCGATTAAATGTTGGAATACAAAAAAAGAAAAAAAAACTCTGCTTGAAGAGTACACTTTCCTATCCCCCCAGCCCACACACATGACTGCGACGGTAGCCCGGACTAACATTTAGAAACTTTCCTTTTTTTTTAATAATTTCCAACATGTAATTACAAGACGTGGTGACGGCACACTCAAGTTTTTCAAACTTATATTAATGCCGCCACCAACACACGGGACAATACAATACTCATTTTCACCTGAGCGAAGTGAGGAAAGTCGTGTAAAGTGCCTTTCCCAAGGACACAAGATCGGTGGCATGTCAGGACTCGAACCCGGGACCTCTTGATTCCGAGTCGAGCACTCTGTCGTTATATACGCCACACGACCCCAGCTATTAAGAGACAGTTAATAACAGAGAACCGGTCAGCTAGAAAAACGCTACCTCTGCTTAGAGGTCGTGAACATGCCCTAGTACCTTGCCCTTGGGTATGACCTATGACATCACTTCTTTGTTCTTTTATTACTCTCCAAGCAGAGGTTTGGGTTTGGGCTTTTTTTTTTGGCATTTTTAGGCCTTTTTTATCGGGCTTTCTTTTTGGTACTGGTAACGTTGGGTTAGCGTAAAAAAAGATACCAATGCAAAAAAGGGAAGCCCGATAAAAAAGCCTAAAACACGCCAAAAATAAGCCAAAACCCAAACCTCTGCTTGTAGTATTGCATTGTCCCATGTGTTGTTGGCGGCATTAATATAAGTATAAAAAAAACTTTAGTGTGCCGTCACCACGTCTTGCGATTAAATGTTGGAATACAAAAAAAGAAAAAACTCTGCTTGAAGAGTACGCTTTCCTATCCCCCCAGCCCACACACATGAACGCGACGGTAGCCTCTACCAGGCACCGCGGATCGTTGGAAAAATAGTAGAAATTGGCCGAAATAAAGGGACTGTATACCAGAGAAGATCCCGGGCCATAGAAGATCTAATTAGCGACCCATGGATTTTCTATGGCCCAGGATCTTCTCTGGTATACTACTAGTATCCCTTTATTTCGGCCAATTTCTACTATTTTTCCAGCGATCCGCGGTGCCTGGTAGAGGCTAGGCGACGGTAGCCCGGACTAATATTTAGAAACTTTCCATTATAAAACACTCCCGCCAACGGGAGAAACCAAAGCACAAAGCAGCGGCGCGCCCCAATATTTGTAAACTCTGGCGTAAATCGGCCACTTGATGGAGCGGCTTGTTTGTCCGGGTATAGACCTGGGTGTCAGGTGGGTTAATACCTGTGCGGCGCCTTACCTTGGCTACGGCAGGTGCGCCAGGTACATACAGGTAAGGCAACACGGCAGAATCAATATTGTCATTGGGGTAAAGAGAAGCCGCTTTCTCCGCCCGGACCATGACGGGTTGATCCGGCGGGACCTCCGAGCCTAATGCCGCCTGACAGATACATTTAACTCGTGTTTATTGTGGAAGCGCGGGGCCCTTCCTGTTTTTCCTGTGCTGGTATCTCTCTCTGTTGTATCCCGGTTCGTCGTATTGTCCTATAGTGTCGCGCTTGATAGCCTCCACCAGGCCTTTCGACGGGAATACGGATCGTAGAATTCGGCAAAAAAGAGAGTAAAATTGGCCAGGGCAAGGTTGTTTCTTTCCCTCCGCGGCCAGTCAACCCGTAAGACGGCCAACCTCCCTTGGCAAATTTTCTCCTATGTATAGCCAGCGTAGTTAGTCTGGTAGAGAGACTACGCGCTTGACGCGACGCACAACACAAGGACACTTGTGCGGAAGTTGGACTTTTTCTCTCTGAGATGACAGAAAGACACAGACGGACACAAGAGTCGGTGGCGCCACGAGGTGAGGGCAGAGAAAACATCGCTGTGAAAGGGAAGACTGTGCCGCATGTGGAAGTTGTAAGTCTTATATATGCATGAGGGAAGACGGTACAGGGGAAAGAGATCGGGGGTTGATATCACATGCCCGTAGACAGGATTTTGGTTGGGGGGTGGGGGTGGTGGTCTTCCTACTGTCCAAAGGGACCAGCGAGCCCTGTAGGCACGAGGTTCCTAGGGGGGTTCGGGGGCATGCTCCCCCGTAAAATTTTTAAAATTCAGCCTTCTGACATAGCATTTCCTGCCTATTTTAAAGGAAAAATCAGAGGCAAATAGGATTTCAGTCCCGCTGCTGATACAAATCAGTCCATCTTTTAAAGAAAAATCTTGGACCTGCAGATAAAAGGTGAACCTTTGAGCGTGTATGTGTGTGGGGGGGGTGTTCTTCCGAGCTTTTTTTTATTCCAACATGTAATCACAAGACGTGGTGACGGCACGCTGCTCAAGTTTTTCAACTTTAATATGCCGCCACCAACACAGGGGACAATACTCATTTTCACCTGGGTGAAGTGAGGAAAGTCGTGCAAAATGCCTCAGTTTCCAAGGGCACAAGATCGGTGGTATGTCAGGACTCGAACCCGGGACCTCTTGGTTCCGAGTCGCGCACTCTGCCGCTAGGCCACACGACCCCGCGAAGTTACGAGTTACGGGCAAGTATCGCTCACGCGGCCGAGGTTTCCCCACGTTCCGCCGCCCCGACCCTGGCTTTGATGCTGCCGACAGCCGGTGCACAGCGGTCAGGAGGGAGGGAGGTAGTTAGCCTCTACCAGGCTTCGGAAGGCGGCTGGAAAGGGTAAAAATCGGCCAAATAGAGCGATAACATGCCGGGGGAGTTGGTCTGCTGGAGAGAACAGTTTGCCGCTCCCGAAAAATGTACTGTCTAGCGGACCAACTCCCTCGGCATGTTATCTCTCTATTTGACCGATTTCTACTCTTTCTGCCCGCCTCCCGAAGCCTGGTAGAGGCTAGAAGGTAGTCTCCACCAGACCAAGGACAGGACTGAAGACCAGACTAAAAACGTGGGGTCGAAAAAAGTTAAAAACTTGGCTAATAAAAGAGGGGAGTTCGGCCAGCATAGAGTTCATTTGCTCATGGTTAGGGGGAAAACTGAAAATTAACCCTCTCGCGGACTGACTCTCCTGGCCAACTATTTCCCTTTTTTTAATACGACATTCTACGATCCGTACCCCCGTAGGAAGGCCTGGTGGAGGCTATAATATTCCGTACCCCCTAAGGAAGGCCTGGTGGAGGCTACAGTCCGTACCCCCGTAGGAAAGCCTGGTGGAGGCTACGGTCCGTACGCCCTTCGGAAGGCCTGGTGGAGGCTAGGAGGGAGGGGCGAGGCATTACTTGGTCTATTGGTTCCCGTTGTTTACGTGGTAATAAAGCTGTTGTGTTAAAGCTGCGCCGCGTTCCGGTGTTAAACACGCTGGAAGTGATTCAGAAGTTCAAGTCCAGAGAAGCAGACGCGTTCCTGGTAGGACGCACGCTGGTTTTTCTGTGTTCAAGGCGAGAGTGTGTGTGAGAAGAAGGGGGGGGGGGATAATTATTCTATAATTAATTTAAACATGTGTTTGACTGTTGATGCACGCGCCTGCGGACAAACATATCGCCTTACGCGAGGGTTCCCAGGGGCCCGTTTGATCGCAGATCAAACTGTTTATGCTCGGTCGGCCCGGGCTTGTTTGTTTAGGAGCCTATTAAACATGAAAGCAGGTTCCTATGTAGTCGCCGACGGCGGGGCACGTCTACCAATAAGCGCGCAGAGCGGCGGTCCCTCAAAAAGGGACGAGCGCTTCAAATCCACCACCACTTCTATCGGAACTGGCAAGCCATACACTTCGGCTAGCAAGGATCCGTACAAGCTAGAGGGACACCACTAAACTTTCTTCCGCGTACGCACAGGAACACGCCGAGCGGTTAGTCGGGGTCTTGCGAGTTGAACTGTTCTGACCGCGGCGGCCGGACATCAAACGGACAGGGGGTAGGTACGGTTCTGAGTGTCTGATGTTTTTATTAGATACGCATGTATTTCTTTGCCGCATCACTGGGGGAAATACTCCACTAATCAAAGAAACGTGTGCGGCGTGGCGGTAAAAAGTGGAACAGGCGTAACATGGACGCGATTTCGGGGAAACACAAAGGAGGAAAAACATCGAGTACGCCGAAAGCCGGGCATTCCTGACGGTCGTCGCACGTTTTTGGTCGGTTTGCGGCATGCGCGAGCGGCCAGGCGCGGGGCTCGCACTTGTCCTCGGGGTAAGGCCGTCATTGCACCGAAGCTCCGGTTCCAAGCAGTCGGTGCTGTTCAGACGACACGGTGTTACTGTAGCAGGTACGACGTCGGGTCTGCTGTGAGAGAGAGAGACTCAAGAGAAAAGCCGTTGCGGAAGTTGTTTTGGGAAGAAAGTGTACAAAGAGGATTTCAGCGTCCGAGACATTCATTCTTACAACAAAACGCCGCGTAGCTTTTCGTCGGTAAGCCGGATTTTCGTTCTTTGCTTAGGTTTAAGTCATCCGATTTCTGAATCGTAGAGAGTGATTCTCCTTCTAAGGAAGCTGTGTTCTGTGCTCTCTCGTGGATTTTATGTAGCCTTCACCAGGCCTTTCTACGGGAATACGGATCGTAGAATTCGGCAAAAAAAGAGGGTAAAATTGGCCAAGGAAGTCCGGCCGCGGGGAGGTACTAGTAGTTCCTCCGAAGGCCTGTCAAACCTACAAGGCGGCCAAACTCCCCTGGCAAATATTCTCCTATATATGTGTATAGCCAGCGTAGTTAGTCTGGTAGAGACTAGCTTTTATAGCCCGTGTTGCCCAGTGGAGACGGCGAAAAATGCTTTCAAGCCCACGATCACGCTGGGGGCCCAATTCGCCAGGTCAGAGCAAATGTCACCGAGGGGTTGTTCCCTTCCATTCAAGGTCAGCCCTGACCCTCTGTGAATTCAAACCGGTCCGTTTGGAGAAATTTGACGCAAGTCTTGGTAACTGGTAGGAAAACTGTTTTAATTCAATTCAGGGGCTTCGTGGCTAAATTTGGCACGGACGGGCTTACGGGGGAGCACCCGGTCTTACTCGCCCGGCTGCCCCAGGACACGCGCCGCCCGACCGGGGCCCGAGACCCCGTCACTCGCTACCCGCCACGGAGACCGACGTAGCTACGTACTGCTCTCCAAGCAGATCATGCGGTGGCAAGACAGTATCCACTGGCCAGAGGAATTTCCTTCGGTGGCTAATGGGCACTTTAGCCAAAGGATGCTGCCTTGCCACCGTATGATCTGCTTGAAGATTACTACGAAGCTACGTACTACTCTCTCCAAGTAGACGTTTTAGGCTTCGGCAAATTTTTGGCGTGTTTTGGGGCTATTTTATTAGGCTTTCTTTTTTTGTCCACTTTTGCTTTGGGCTGGCGTAAAAAAAGATACCAATAAAAAGAAGAAAGGGCAACGCCACAAACACGTAAAAAAATAAGCTGAAGCCAAAAGTGCAAAAAGCCAAAAGGCAAAACCTCTTCTTCGTACCGTCCGTGGCGGACTTACTTTGACCAGCCTGGTCAAACATCGCAGTTTGATACAAGTCGAGACCAAACGTGGCCGATTCCCGCACATTTTGCCTTTTAGCCTGGTGACAGAGACATCAAAGATCACGAAAACCGTGCCTTTAGATCTGGTAAGCTTGTACTGTAGTTTCCAATACACTTCTGATACTGGCATGGAAAGCCATGATTGTAATATATGTAGCCATACTTGGAATGCCGTTGAAATAGAGGACAAGAATGAAGTCATGAAAGCAGAATAATGTAAGGAAAATGGTTGAATTTCTTGTCCTGAAATCGTGCCTTTAGATCTGGTAAGCTTGTACATGTATAATTGTTCCTAAATGCACCTCTGATATTGGGAAGACATTATTGTAATATATGTAGTAATTCCTGGAATGCCTTTGGGATAGAAGACAAGAGAGGAGTCAAGAAGGGAACATAATTTAAGGAAAATTGTTGTGATTCTTTAATGTTTATGACAGGAATGCCTTATTCGAAATTAGACATCACGGAGACCGTGCTTTTAAATCTGGTACGCTTTAGCTTGATCTTGTAGTAGTGTCCAATACATTCCGATATTGGGAAGCCTTTAATATATGTAGTAATTCTTGGAATGTCATTGAGATAGAGGGCAACGAATACGCAACATAACTTAAAGGAAAATGGTTGAGTTTCTTGTAAAGGTTTAAGACTGGAATGCCTTATTCGAAGTCGTGAAGGCGGAAGAAATAAAAACGCCCCTCGGAAGGTTGGCGTCCCGAGGTCTACTCGCGAAGCGTGGTCTTTCCTGGCGCAAATCCAGGTCGGTGTTGTCGTCTTTCATGTGGTTCCAGCTCTTTCACTGCGCTTTAACGTAATTACAAGAATCACGGCTCAGCCTACAAAGTGTGTGATTTCTCTGTCTGCGTTTAGTTGTATTTGCCTAACCTCTACCTAATCTCCAAGCAGATCCTAGAGTCTCAAAAATAGAGTATCAAATTGGGCAGGCAGTATCCAATTAGCCAGAGAGAGTCAATGCGCGACCCAAGGTAGCGACAAAAAAGGGCCACATGTCAAAAGCTAACGATCATTCCCCACAAACTCTGCTTGGAGAGTAGCATCTACCAGGCTTTGGGAGGCGGCTGGAAAGAGTAGAGATTGGCCAAATAGAGCCAAATAGAGAGATAACATGCAAGAGGAGTTGTTCCGCTAGAGAGTACAGTTTGCCGCACCCGACGATACTGTAGGGGGCCAACTGATATTTCCACGGCAGATGCTCTGCTGAACTTCACTCCCTTGTACCCCCACTCAGAACATTCTCTGCAAGAACACGCTTAGCCACCTTAACAGCAGAAAGTCACCCTTTCTTCCTCAATAGTCCATCTGTCAAGAGAAAATTTCATGCTGACAGTTTCTTCCTTAGAACCACTTAACTGTGGAACAAGCTTCCCCGTGAATGTTTCACCGCTAATTACAACCTCCAACGGTTTAAATCAAGGGTGAACAAATATCTGACCACGCAGTCATCACTGTAATCCAAAACATGTAAGTGGCTCTCACGAGCCTTGTTTTGAGGTGAATCTGAAGTAAATAAAAATAAAAATAAAAAAAACTCCCTCGGCATGTTATCTCGCCGATTTCTACTCTTTCCAGCCGCCTCCCGAAGCCTGGTAGAGGCTAGTATTTGTCGCCCTTGAGAAAAAAGGGCGTTACCCTTTGCCAAAACAAACACATTCATTGATATAAATGCCTTTTGTAAGATGCGGCTGGTCTCTAGATCCTCGTCATCATTTTATACTTCAAGCGTTTGAAATAACTTTGAGAGACTTCGAGACTTTATTCGAATTGCCACTAATAAATAGCTAGAATAAGCCTGCGATACGAAATAAGCAACCATTTTCCGTCGGCGACATTGCACTTATGCCTAAAAGATATCCCTGAGGATTCAACTTACTACATAAAATAACCCGAAAATTGTCTTAGAAAATGTTGTTTAACTGTTTGCCCTAAAACGTTTTGGGTGCCTTTGAAGTACGCGAATGTATCACATTCAGAGGTTTCCCCATGCACAACTGTGAGTCGTGAAGTCAACACTGGGTTAGCCTCCGTAGCAGGCTTATAGAACTGGGGGTTTGGTGGTCTTCGGCTGTTTTCTGATTAGCCCAGTTCTAGGAACGGGGGTAATTCAACCAGGCCGGCTATGTTGTCTATATGCAATCAGAAAATAGCACATAAAAGATCCCAAAGACCCTGAAGAACCCCCAAACCCCCAATTTTTGGCATGCTGTGGAGGCTAGGTTTCCCCATGCACAACTGTGAGCTACTGCGTGCCGTGAGTCCAGCGTTATAATCTCCAAGCAGATCCCTCTCGGTGGCAAAAAGACAGTATCAAATTGGCCAGACAGTATCCATTAGCCAGAGAAGCTCCGCGGCCACCGACGGGTGGGGATCAGGACAAAAAAAAACCCGGCCATATATAAAAAGGTAACGATCATTCCCCACAACCTCTGCTTGGAGAGTACAGCGTTAGGCGCACGTGTCTGTTCGGTAGGCCTGTGTAGTAAGGTCTGTGTTATGTACCGTAACGATGTTGACAACAACGTACCAAGTACGATCGGTATGCGCCACGCGTTCCGAGGGCCTGCTCTCTAAGCAGAGGTTCGGGTTTGGGCCTGTTTTTGGTAGCCTCCCGTGCAGGCTCCGGGGCGGGTGGGAATTTTGATACAGCGTTTTGTAGAGTTTCTAACGCGTTATTTTAATAGCCGCGAGAGAAGGTTCCATTTCGCGATATGAAACCTTCTCTCGCGGCTGGTTGTAGGATGACCGGCTATTAAAAGAACGCGTTAAAAGCTCTTCAAAACCCTGTATCAAAATTCCCACCCACCCCGGAGCGCTAGCCTGCACAGGAGGCTAATTTTTGGCGTGTTTTTAGACTTTTTTACCGTTTTTTTTGCACTTGTATCTTTTTTTTTACGCCAACCCAACTCAAGCTGCCGGCAGGCGCAAGTCTCAATGGGATATAAACTTAATCACGTGTAGGCTTAAAAAAGATACCAGTGAAAAAAAGAAAGCCCGATAAAAATCCTTAAAAACACACCAAAAATAAGTCAAAACTCAAATCTGTGCTTGGAGAATATACTAGCCTAGAGTGGCAAAAATGTGCAATAAAGCTCGTCATTCATTCTATTGTGCGCCAATTACGGCAAGTAATCTTTCACACGAGGAGTCGACACCAGCAATCATGGCGTCGTTTTCTTCTCTGATTGGTTTGTTTGTTTTTGGCGAGATCGTGAATTATCGGCCGATTCGCACCGACGTGTATAAATCCTGTCAATTCAGACGTATTTGCGAGATCATTTGGATAATCTATGAGCTTATGTGCTAGTAAGGCTCAATTTCTTTGACAGCATTATGTTGGAAAAACATATTTTATACCGTTAAATACCGTTCAAAAGTGTTCGGACTTTTCT